GGGGGGTTAGTAGTAAGCAGTATAAAAAGCACCTTTCTTTTTGGTGTTTTTTGTTAAGGTTAGTCATTCGCTTTGATTAAGTTCTCAAGATTTTGGACATCTTATGATAAGATGTTCTAGAAATCAAGAACTATAAATGTGACATCTAGACTTGCTGTCAAATTCATGTATATCTTCTCTAATCATGTCTAAATGGACTTTAAAGAAAGGCTTTTGCAGCTTGTCCTAAAGTCATTTTGATCTAGTGTGAACCAATATTTTCCTTAGTCAAGTTTATAGCATGAAAGAAGAAGACATTGCGGCGTTCAAGCCAATAGGACACTCCAGCAAGTCTATTGGAATTGGCTCTGTATCAATGGATAACGTTTGACGTTGGAGTTTTTGCCTTTAAATTACTGTACTTGAAATATATTAGAATTGATGGACCTAAACTATTCTAGTTCCCTCTGTTCTCTCTGTTCACTAAATTGAAAATACAACTGCAGGATTGAGCCAAGGTATCAAGAACTGCTGAATGAGGACATACCAACAGCAGAAAATGAAGGGGTTGAAGTAAAAATCATAGCAGGTGAAGCAATGGGTGTTCAATCTCCAGTTTATACACGAACGCCTACAATGTACCTTGATTTCACCCTACAACCAACATCTTATTATCATCAACCCACCCCTGAGTCTTGGAACGCGTTCGTGTACATAGTTGAAGGAGAAGGCGTATTCGGAATTCCAAATTCAGGTCCTGTATCAGCTCACCATTGCTTGGTTTTAGGCCCTGGAGAAGGACTTAGTGTGTGGAACAAATCTTCTAAGCCATTAAGATTTGTTTTATTAGGTGGACAACCTATTAATGAACCTGTGGTTCAACATGGTCCTTTTGTGATGAACTCACAAGCTGAAATTGATCAAACTTTTGAAGATTATCAGTATTGCAAGAATGGTTTTGAGAATGCTAGATATTGGAGATCAGGGCACTGAAGAAAGCAACAACAACAACAACAACAAACGCAGTGTAATTTCATAAGTGGGGTCTGCGAAGGGTAGTGTGTACGCAGACGTTATCCCTATCTTGAACGTAGAGAGGCAGGGCACCGGAGCTGAAATGATAATTAGTAGTCTATAAAGCCATAAAATGCACCTTTTATGTTTCTTTTTTCTTTTCATAAGAATCTCTACTAAAAAAAATAATGGTTCAGCTTATCTTGATTTTTTTATTTGAAAATTGTGTAAGTTAATGTTATTCTATTCTTATTTCAATGTTGATAGGTCATTGTCAAAAAGTGGATTGTTGTTTCTTTTTCTTATAGTGAAGATTGATTCTGAATCTATGATAATATATTCTTGGATATGGATACAGTGGTGGAAGAGTGGTGGTGGTGGTAGGGTAAGATTCTCTGTTGTAAGTTGGTTTCTCAATTATAAATAAGTGACCCTCCACCAACTAATGTACTTGCCAAAAATAAAGTGGAAAAAATGAAATAAAACTAAACGGGGTAGGGCAGTGCAAGGCAGGGCAAAATTTTGGAAACACGCTAGACGGGGCAGGGCTTGAAGGGCGGGGCATTGCAATGCATGGAATTTTTTTGGTAAAACGCTAGACGGGGCAGGGTTTGAAGGGCGGGAAATGCAAGGCAGGGCAACATTTTGGAAACACGCTAGACGGGGCAGGTCCTGAAGGGCGGGGCAGTGCAAGGCAGGGCAAATTTTTTGGAAAGACGCTAGACGAGGCAGGGCTTGAAGGGCGGGGAAGTGCTAGGCAGGGCAACATTTTGAAAACATGCTAGAGAGGCAGGGCTTGAAAGGCAGGGCAGTCCAAGGCAGGGCAACCTTTTGGAAAAAATGCTAGACGGGGCAGGCCAGGACGGTTCAAGGCTTGCCTTGCCCCGCCCTGCCCGTCCCATTTACATTCCTATAAACAGGTGACCCTACATCAACTAATGTAACTACCACTTAACAGCATAGCAGAAAATGTTGCAAATTTTGTCACAGGTTGATTTGCCAATTATTGAGAATCTTTTTCTATCATTACAGTCTGTTGCTTCAAGGTCATATCACTGCAAATGATCTTAGTAGATTTTGATGGTTTTACCAAAACTTTTGACTAACACATCCTATAATTTTATTTTAAAGGAAAGGATCTTATGAAGTGAATATAGCAATTTTGGTAGATCAAGATTGAATAGCAGAATATCTTCACAGTAAAATTAGTTTAAAACAATCAAAAAAGGTAATGATTATTAATTGTTTAACTTAAATTATATATTTTTATATAACTTATAATTAGTGTTGCCATTGTGATTTATTTCACTTTACATACAGATCGACACAAGACGTCAGTTCTTGATTAACAGTCTTCCTTTAGCCAAAGTTTTTCTAACAAATTCAGCCCCCTACCATGTTACTATAAGAGAAAATCATGTTTTAATAAAAAAATTCATTCTTTGGAAGAAGAAAAAGTTGATAGGACAAATTAAGGCCTTCTCTTTTAATCCATTTTTTAAAAGAGTGAGGAAATTTCATGTTATCTATCTCTCTACCTATTATTTTTACAAAAACGGCTTAAGAAATAAGATCAAACTCAAGAAATAATCTATTTTAAGGTGGTAGATGAGTGTATACTCTAGCCATATTTAACATCCTAGTGCCTTAATAAAAATGATCCACCTACTACTAAATAGCATTATCCAAGACATGACTGTCCTCATTAAACTTTTCTTGCTAGGATCTTTACACAAATAGCCGGTTATATTCATTATTTATTTTTTTTAACCATATACATAGTTTTCATATTGATTCTACATAATTATACACATATAATACATAAATTATGCGTATATTATACCTTCACCAACTATTTTTGGTTTAAGAGGTTGGGAGGGCGACTATTCAGGTTAATTCTTCTTTCTTGTTTGGTGTAACTTTTTTCCTTGTCAAGTTTGAAGTGGGTGTTTCGACATAAAAATTGTAAAATTTCGAGAAAAAAATTCAAGTGAAAATGATATTTGAGAATTTGAGTTATGTTTAGACATGATTATAATTTTGGGCTGTTTTTAAATTTTTGTGAGTCATCTAAAGTGAATTTTTTTTGGAAAAATAGTTGTTTGGAGTTTTTCAAATTTTAAAAAAATTTCAAAATTCATCTTCAAGTGAAAATTAAAAATTTCATGACCAAACATTGAAAAATAAAAAAAAAAATTATGGCCAAACGGGCCCGAAAAATGAGGAAATGTCTCATAATGTTTCTAGTCTAGAACAAGAATAGTGGTGAGGATGAAAGAAAGCATTCACTCTTATTTGGTGAGAAAATGATGTTTGTTTAGTTTCTAGAAGATGTTGATATGCATTTTTTTTTTTTTTTTTTTTTTTTTTGGTATTGATAAGCTTACCTTGACAGATTCTATTGTCGTCTTCTTCTTCTTCTAGCAAAACATTTTGGCCTTAAATGATTGGATACAACTACTGTAGGATTTACGTCAAACTTTTCCAAGTTATTATTTCCTCCCATTTTTATTATATACGAATAAATGAGTTTAATTACAAATAGGATTTGTATTGCTCAATTACGCTCTATAAATTGCAATTACCAGTTGCGATAATAAATGCATTTTTAATTGCGTTGTATGAATCGCATTTGAGTAGGCGCTTTATAAATCTCATTTCAATTGCATTTTATTCAAACTGCGCTCTATTAGTTAATTGCGTTTTGTAATCGTTTCCTCGATAGAAAGGTGTGGAGGTCGAGAATCAAGGTGAACGTCTAGTAGGTAGTCGAGAGTATTAGTGTTAGTCCTTTTCTACCCATTGTTCTTTGCGTTTCGATTTCTTACTATCTTATTGTTGTGACTGCTAGGTGCTTTTTTTCCCGTGAGCCGAAGGCCGATCGGAAACAGCCTTTCGACCTTCAAGATGGGGTAAGGTCCGCGTATACACTACCTTCCCAAACCATACTTGTGAAATACTGATTTTATTATTGTTGTTGTTGTTTTGCAATCGTTTCTAACAATTGGGAATGGCAAGCGGTTGCGGTTGCTGTCTTAACCCACAAATTTTCAACCCGCCCCGCGTAACAGTTAAAACAGCATCCACCCGCCCCACCCCACACCCGCCCCGCCCCCAGTTTCATTTTTTTTTTTTAAAAAAAATTGTTTCTTTTCTTCATCTACACCAATTTACTTAAAACTCAAATCTTCAAGAGCTAGATATCTGTAACAACTTATTCACTGGTATAGTATCAGAACTCCACTTTGCCAAACTAAGTAAATTGAAGAAACTGCTATAGACGATGCCTTGTCTTACAATAGGAATGTCCAAAGGCCATGCTCATACATTTTCAATCAAGGAAGCCACCATGGACCATGGTGACCCTCACAAAGTTTTCAGGCAAAACCAACTAAAATCAAGGCAATTGGTGACAAAACAAAAAACAGAGGTAAAGCATATAAAGTTATTCTTGCGCTTCTTCCATAGAGACATAGCCATTTTATGGGGATCCATAGATGAAGGGGTAAAGGCAGAAGTAATAGATACATGCCATAACTTTTCAACAAACAAAACACCATTTCCTTTGAATCGGGTATAGCTAAGAGACGCATCAACATGAATACTCTTTGTCTATGACTCTAGCATAGTACAATGCGCTTGAACAACTTTCTCAAATGTGACATAAAATGCAGCCGTACATTCAATAAAATTATTTGCTTTTGCATCAAACTTCAGTTTGGCCGCATAATATTTCAGTTTGGGAACATCAAAATTTAACACAATATTTCTTCTAATTTGAATACATAGCTTCCATACCCAGCATCCTGCAAACAAAAAAAAAAGGAAATTAGTGTCGACCAAAGTATGTATGTAGGAAATGAGAGAAATCCACTTACTTCCACGAGGGTTCGAGCCTCACGAAGTTCATCGTGGGGGACCGGAGCGGGGTTGAGGGGAAGAAGAGGGGAGAGGGGGAAACTCGTCATTCTCTATCGAGAGAGAAGGGACCGATGGAGAATGACGAGTTCCCCTGTCCCCTCTTCTTCCCCTCAACCACGCTCCGGTCCCCCGCGATGAACTTCGTGTGGCTCAAACCCTCGTGGAAGTAAGTTGATTTCTCTCATTTCCTACGTACATACTTTGGTCGGCACTAATTTCCATTTTTTGTTTGCAGTAGGCCGGATGCTGGGTATGGAAGATATGTATTCAAAATAGAAGAAACAATTATTGTGTTAAATTTTGATGATCCCAAACTGAAATATTATTCGGTCAAACTGAAGTTTGATGCAAAAGCAAATGATTTTATAGAATGTATGGCTACATTTTATGTCACATTCGAGAGAGTTGGTTGCGTATCGTACTATGCTAGAGTCTCAGACAAAGAGCATCTTACTTTTTTTGGATTTTGTTCGTCTTGAGACTCCATAATTTTCTACAAAAAATCAATAAAGGAAATATTCATTAGCAAATCAGATGATTGGAGTCATAATTAACCACATCTAAATCAAACAAAATCCACATTTTTAAATTTTAATCAGTTACAACAATGAACAATCCGATCCAAGCAGCCATGAATTTCTAGCTGGAACAGCTTGAAGATTGCCTGACGATTTAGGCTACAACTCAAAACACGCAAACAGAAATCACAAATGCTCAACTTAGCTGCTTCAAATATTCAAATAAAGAATTAATCTACATCTGTCCTTTTGTTACCTTTCTCAAAATATTAGTAAATCTTTTTTTAACATCACTGACAATTCAGCTAAGCCAACTACTTTTCATTTTGATAAGAATCAGGAAAATATTCAGTAAGCTAATTCACCTTTCCAACATGATTCAAAGGATTAAGATCGGACTCAAATCTGTTGCATTTACTCAATATGAAGGGACTGAAACACAAGAAAGAGGTTTTTCTTCCATAAAAAGAAAAAATTACCAGAGAAAAGAGTTTGAATAGAGAAAACTTACCAGATTGTGCGCTGGGCGTTTGTGGAGAAATCCTCTCAGAAATTAGGGCGCTGGGCGTTTGTGAATTGGGTAACCCAATTTGGGTTTAGACTTTTAGGTTTAAGTTTGGTAGAATAGCCTAAATACACTTATTCTTGTGCCAGTTTGTTATTCCGATCCTTTTACTTAATTTATTTTTATCCAAACTCTTTTAGCTTATCAAAACTTATATTTAAACCCTCTGGCCGTTGACCGATCATATGTGGCAGCATTATAGCTGAGTTGGATAACAAGTATGTAATTCACGCGTACAACGAGCATGAACATAAAAAAAATGTCCTAAGAAATAATTGAACTAAGGAGAAAAAAATAATAAAATGAAAAAAATAGTAAAATTTAAAGAAAGTAAACTAACCCCTTTCCCCAAAACCCATCTCCGGAAAAATTTTATTTTGTGCCTCACACGACTTACACTGGTCGTAAATCACTCCCCATCTCTCATTTCTATTTCTTTCTTCCCCTTCCCGTTATCTCCCCTCCCCTCCCCCCAACCTCGCACCCCTTTCCACTTACTCTCCCCCTCCCCTCCCCCCAACCTGCACCCTTCCCGTCTCCCCCCCAACTGCACCCCTTTCCCTTTCCCGTTCTCACTCCCAATTTTCACCCAAAAATCGATTTACCTTGAATCTATTCTCATCCAACCGACAAAAATTATTGTAATTTCTAAATAACACTTTTCTAAAGAGCAAAGGATGGGTTCGATTTTGATGGAGAAGTGAATCTGCTTTTTGAAGAAAAAAAAATTGTTCAAATAATGTACTATTTTCCAAGATAAAAATGTTGGGCACGGCTTAAATCTACGAGTTATAAGTACTATATTTAGAGAAAGGGAGAAGGGATAAAATGGTAAAAATATAACAAAGTAAATACCTAAAAATCGTAAAATATAGAGTAGTCGTGGGTGGGATCTAATATCTGTAATGAATTTTGAAATGGAAAATGTCGGGTCTGAGTACTTCATCTTCAGCGCCAAAAAAAATTGTTCAGTTTATCTAGGAATGAAGTGTGCTTTTTGTCAATAATAAGAAACCAATGGAGAATGAAGAGTGATCTCCAGATTTTAATGGTGTTCTTCCGGTGGCCGGAGGAATTTTTCGACGATGGTAATGGTGGAGTTGTTGGCGGTAAGGAGAAGAGATGGTGGGGAAGGAAAATATTGAAGATAAAGTCAATAGTTTATTTTACTATGTGGCACTAGTAATGACGTGGCATTCTACGTGTAGGAGATTGTATTACACGCACTGACAGCTTCCTGTCATAAGCGTTTATTATATTCGGTTTAAACGAGTGTAAGTGTTCAATTGACAAAATGCTAAGTTTGGGGACCGGGATGACAAAGTGGCACTAGTATAAATGTCATTTAGGCTATTCTGCCTTTAAGTTTGAAGAGAGTAGCATTCTCTCCTGTTGAGTTCAAAAAATTAAATTCCGCCCCGTGCCCCGCCCCGCCCCGCCCCCCGCAAATGCTGTAACCTGCCCTGCTCGCGACCACTGAAACCTGCCCTGTCCCGCACCCGCCCCGCCCCATTGTCATCCCTACATTGATAATCACACTTTGAGGCTCTATTTAGTTATCTCTATGTATAAAAAAGTCTTTGGCGAAATTAATTTTCTTGCAAGGACGCTGCTTGGAATATGAAACTTTTATGGTCATTTAGCTGTGATTAGTTTAATAATATTAATTAACGGAGAGAGTAGAGACTACCTAGTTTATAGATATTTCTGACCCGTAGATTCCTTCTACCATAATGTCATACATTGGTAAGTAGACTACTAGAATGGCTGAATTCCGACCGTCAAACGACCAGAAATCAGTCGGAAATCACGAATTTTATTATTCTTCGACCAAAATTGGTGTGTCGGAAAAAAATTTCGACCGAATCCGTTGGTGATTTTCGATCAAAGTAGTCGGAACGTCAAAAGGTCAGACGACCAAATTATTTTCAAATTTGCGACCGAATTAGTCGTAATAATATAAAAAATACCTATTTATTTAAATTAAATAATAAAAATATATAATTTCCAACCGGATCAGACAAAAATTAATATTTAAAAATAAAATTTATTTAATTTCCGACAGAATTCGTCGAAAACTGTTAAAAGTTAATTAATCTATTTGTCATTTCCGACCGATTCGGTCGGAAATCTGGGTATTTTGAAAAAAAAAAAACTGGACAACTGACCGACCGTTTCCGTTGGACATCAGTCGGAATTTTCTGTAAAGCTAGGCATAATTCTGGTCAATTTTGAGCTACACCACCTGTCAAACAATTACAATACAATAACGCCAATAACCAATCAACAAATATCGACATATATAACATCTAAACCAACAAATCCATTATAGTGGCGAAGCAAGAAATTCAATAAGCGTGTTCAAATTTTGAATACCTTTTGTCAGTGGGCTATGCAAGAGTATTCAATCTATTTTGTATCAATAATAAGTAATATTTTATTCAATACATAATATAATTTTTCGACGATGACCGCTTAGTTGACCACCCTTGACCACCTATAACTTTGCCCCTCTTGGCAAGCCAGGTTGTTGGTCCTAATTAATTTCACAATCAAGCAAATAAAATAGATTCCATAGAAGTATGATCCTTTTACTAGTATAATTACAATTGTCTGTGGAGAAGGAATACCTTAAAAGAGTTACTTAGGGGTTATAAGTTGATAAGATTAGAGATTTTAGTAAACTCACTGCTCAAATTATATATATACATATGCTAAAATTAAACAATATACATATAATAAGATCAAACTCGTCGTAAATCAATTGAGTTAAAAAATTTAATTTTCGCGCGGTGTAACATAGCAAGACGAGTGAAACCTTGTTGAGTATATCTCGATTAACTTGACGGAATACATATTACTTTTTATCAGTACAGGTAATGAATAATACGATCCTCCAAAGCTGAGATGTATAAAAAGAAATATAAAATTGTTATTAGTGATCCATGATAATAGAGTTTTGTATCTTTATTTATTTCCTGAATATACTCTTCTTCTATGAGATGCGGAATATTAGCCTTTAGATGTCGATATAAAGGAATGTCACTCGTCGGGCTTTATTTATTGGAAACAGCCAAATAAATCTTATAAAAATGAAATATTTTCAAGCCTCTTGGTCTGCATATTATAACTCGAGAAGCAGAAGAATTTTGGGTTACTAATTGGTAGAAGATCGAGTAATTTCTTCGAACCTTTTATTGTTTATTATAAAAACTACACATATCAGAGTCATCGTTAACCATTGGTCGTTAAGGCCTATCATCAGACTTATATAATTGAAAATTAGTCATTATCATGGAGTTTCAAATTCCACAAGTGAAACTCTATAACAATCTGCTGGAATTTTACTCGTGAAATTTGAAACTCCATGACGATGGCTATTTTTCAATTACGTGGGACAAAAAAGTGGATATTTGTGAATTTTATGTCAATTAAACATCAAAAAAGATGCCCAAAGTTCAAGAAATAATAATTTACTTAATAGCCTGAAAGAAAAAGCAAAAAAAAAATAAAAATAAAGCTGCTCAAGAAATGATTATACTAGTGATTAAAATAACAATCAAGAATAATAAATGCATAAAGCAAACACAAAATACAGATATATTGAGGAAAGAAACTTTTTTTCATTTTAGCTGCTATTTAGAATAGAATATAAATATCAAGTTCCTGACCATTACAAAAGTATTCCATCAATAAGAAATCAATAAATAGTATAAAACCAACCAAATAATTTAATGAACAGTTCTTATAAACTTAATAGCCCTGATTTTTTGGTTTGATTACCATTCTTGTAACCATCATCAATCACCTAGAACAACAAGAATAGCCTTGATTTTGTTTTGATCCATCGGTACCATTATCGACGAGGCTAACTCTGTTGACAGATAATTCAGCTTTATAAGAATCAGAATTCAAAACCTTTCTGCTAACACTGTTATAGATCTCTCGAATCACCATCTCGAAAGCCTTGTTTACGTTTGTTGCGTCGAGGGCAGATGTCTCCATGAAGAACATCCCTTCTGATTCCGCCAAGCTTTTGCCTTCTTCTACGCTCACAGCTCTTATGTTATCCAAATCACATTTATTTCCCACGAGCATCCTTGCAACCGTGGTATCAGAATGAGCTGCATGTAATTGGTCGTTTTAGTTAAACAAGGAATTGAAATAGGCAGAGATTGAGCGTGATAAAGCGCAGCCCGGTGCACTAAACTCCGCTATGCGTGGGGTCCGGGGAAGGGCCGGACCACAAGGGTCTATTGTACGCAGCCTTACCCTGCATTTCTGCAAGAGAGTGTTTCCACAGCTCGAACCCGTGACCTCCTGATCACATGGCAGCAACTTTACCAGTTACGCCAAAGCTCCCCTTACATTGAAAATCTGAAAACTACATCAAACACCTCTGTTACATGTAATGTGCATATAAATAAACCGTCGGAACCAAAGAGAGGTAATCGTGGTAATCCCTACAGCAGAAAGAATCATTTCAAACAAAAATGGTGAAATGGACGCGTGAATGCAACGGTTAAGTGCAGCACCTGCACATATAAAGAGTCGGTGAAACTTAATATTACCACTACTTTCCATATTTCCTTCAAAAGTATACAACAACAACAAACACAGCGTAGTCCCACATAGTGGGGTCTGCAGAGTGTAGTGTATACGCAAACCTTACCCTACCTTGTTAACAGAGGCGAAGCCAGGATTTGAAGCTTATGGGTTTGGGATTCTAGTATATTTAAGTTACTGGGTTCTAAATTAATAATTTATATGCATCCAATCAATTTTTTAAGACAGATACAATATTTGGACCAAAGCTACGGGTTCTGCCTAACCCGTAAACTAAAGTCTAGCTCTGTCCCTGCTTGTGAAGGTAGAGAGGCTGTTTACAAAGTATGCATCTGAATATTCTTAAGTTGTTATTAGCTATGTTGTCGTCGCTTTCACATGACGAAGAAAAATGTTTTACCTCATTAACACAGAATCCCCTCTTTTCTTGATAGGCATTTTTTAGGTTAAAGTTATGACTCTTACTGCTTGGAGAATGTTTAGTTGACACGATTGTCACGGCTATTGTGACTACTGTTTGATTTTTATGACATAACTTTCTGCTCATTTCAGTCCATGATTAAATGAAGCTTGTGGAGTACAAAAATCAGTAAGGGTTACCAATGCTGCAAACACTAGCATTCTATCTATCACCTTGCCCCGGCACAGGGTTCTATCTATCATTACTATACGACACATTGACATAGTCATTAATTATAATGGACGTGAAATGCTCAAAGAAGAGAGAAGAGAATACTTTGTGATGCCATTGTGTGTGTGTGTGTGAGAGAGAGAGAGAGAGAGAGAGAGAGGGGTCGTGTTTGGAAAAGGACTAAATTAGAAGAGTTGATGAAAGAAGGATCATACATAGTTTGTTGGATTTCTGGTTATGCTTTGATGTTAACTGATCTCGAATATTTTACTACATGCACACAAAAGAAAAGATGCAAATACATTCTGCACAAATTAGAAATCCCACACCTTGCGCATTGTCATGCCAAGCTAAGCAATATACTTAGTTTTCCCTCGAGTCAATACTCCTCTGCTTTATGGTCATTAAGTTCTAAAAGTTTCAATTTCGCGAACAGTGAGCACAAATTCATTCATTTTCAAGTTTCAAACGATATTTTACAAGACAAGAACAGATTGCGCAAGTATCACATAGCAGCTTACGGCCGAAAATGACGTATGTACAATCACGTCCAGCCAAAAGTTTATTAGCTAAGGGCTTAACGGAGAGACTACCTAAGTCATAGATTTGACATCAGCGTCAAAAGAATCTCTGAGGTTTCGATCAATCCCAGAGATTCCTTAGAACCATGATGTCATACATCGGTAAGCTAGGCTGTTGGTCCTAATTAATTTAACAATCAAGCGAATAAAATAGATTCCATATAAGTACGATCTTTTTACTAGTTTACTCAGATTTGTTTGCGTAGAAAGCAAAGCATCACTTGAGTTCCCGTTCCTAATATACATTCAATTGACAGTCTGTCTATTTTGTTCTTATCCTAGATTCCCAAACTGCATCTAGACAAAATTGATCATGACAGTTACATTGGCATATCTACCGCTTTCTTCGTCATTGCTTTAAGTAACAATGACACATATTCAGGGCCTTACTAACTAACGTCACCACTCATTTCTATGCCTGGTAAGTAATATTTCACTAAAAAATTTCAATCAGACTTAGAATCAAACTGTAAAATCTTATTTTTTTTCCAGTCAAAGAGAAAACAAATAGGAAAAACATCAAACAGAATAAGAAGAAAAGCAAAGGATAATTTACAGTCAAAAACATATAGATTTAACGCATCCATTATTCCATCATCCTAAACAGTGAAAGTAGCCTGGAATTTTCAGATCTACAAAGATATCTTACATATACTCATTATCAAGAAACAGGAATGTAGAAGTCAAATCAAAGAATTACCAATCTATCATAACACACATCAAATCTCAAAGAACTAACTTTATAGCCAATCCACCAACAAACCTCAACATATATCAAAAAGGTGAGAACTTTCTATGCACAAAACTCAAAACAAAAGCAATACCGAAGATAGTAAGAAATCCGGACAAAACCTTCCTGTTTTTGGGGAGGAATAAAGTACCGGATTAAGTAGGCAATCTTAAGACAATTCTTTTTCTTCATTAGGGCTTCTAGCCCCGAGTCGAATTCAAACATATACCAAAACCAAGTTAAAAAAAAGAAAAAAAAATGTAGTAACAGAGACACTTGAAGTACACTAATCAGATCTCAACCTCACTTGTAAATTTATCCAATGCGTCAAATCTAAGAATTACCACTCTATATAACAGCCATTAATTTCAAGAACTAAACTTTATAGCCTATCTACCCAAAAGGTGAGAACTTTTTATGCTCAAACAAAAGATATGCGCAAAACTTTGATGGGAACTCAATATAAAACAAAACAACAACAAGCCCAGTGAAATCCCACATGTGCGGTTTGGGGAGGTTACTATATGCGCAGTCCTTACCCCTACCTTGAGAAAGCAGAGAGGCTATTTCCGATAGACCCTCGGCTAAGAAAGGATACAAAAGTAAAGCGGATAAAAAGGCTCAAGAAAGGTAAAAGCATGAAATAACAATGCGCAGCAATACCAGCAAAGCAGAAAACCATAGCGCAAGAATCAACAGGTAATAACAGAAATCTGAGAACAAGAAATGCAAGAGTAGCACTAAACAGCTCACTATAACAAACAAAACCAAGTTAAAAAAAATGGAAATTTCAGTAAAACAGACAGACTTCTGAATCTATCAAATTTAAATCCCAGATCCACCTATGGGCTATGGATCTCATTCCACTTTTATCCAATGCCTAAATTATCAAGAAACAGACCATTTTATCATAACACCATCAAATCTCAAAATCCAAACTTTATAGCCAATCCACCAAAAAGGTGAAAACTTAGATTGTTACGCAAATAGCCAGTCAGATTCAATCTTTACTTTTTCTAGCCGATATACATAAATTATACATTAATTATACATATTGTATCCGCCGGCTATTTTTAGTTTAAGAGATTATGTGGGTGGCTATTTGGGTTAATTCTTCAACTTTCTATGCACAAACACAAGAATGCATCAAACTTCAGTGAGATTCAACTTTAAAAAAAAAAAAAACAACTTAAAAATAATGGAAATTTCAGTAAAAAGAGACATACTTTTGAGCTCATCAAGCCAACGAGGGATGCTATCAAAAGTGGTACGTCTAGTAATATCATAAACAACAAGAGCACCAAAAGCACCACGATAATAAGCAGAAGTAACAGCTCTAAATCTTTCTTGACCAGCTGTATCCCAAATCTGAGCTTTTACTTCTTTACCATCAATTTCAAGAGTTTGGGTCTGAAACTCAACACCAATTGTTGCTTTTGAATGCAAGTTGAATTCATTTCTTGCATAACGTGTCAGCAAATTTGATTTTCCAACTGCTGAATCACCAATTATTACAATCTTGAAAAGATATTCCTCACCACTTTCATCATCTGATGAATCCATTTTCAAGTTTTGAAAAGTGTAAGAGTCTTTGGGGGAAGAGAGAGAAAGTGGAAATGGTGATCTAGAGAGAGAGAGGGTGTTGGGGTTTTGTGTAAGAAGTAATGGGCAGAGCTGGCAAAGATTGGTACAGAGAATGTGTAAGAAAGTGGTCTTTGCTGGATTTTAGTTTTAGTTTTTTTTTTTTGGTTTGTTTGTTGTTTTTTCCTTTTTTTTTGAAAAATTCATAAGTGGGTGTCCTATTTTAGGTAAATAAATAGGTTTATAATAATTACCATCGGTTTAAAAGAAGAATAAGCCGTTGGGAGTTTGACGAAGAAATGACACATGTAGCCCACCTATTTAGGAATTAATTAGTGCGTCCTGAATTTTTATTTTTCAGTAATCCAAATAGTCGCCCACCTAATCTCTTAAACTATAAATAACCGGCGGATGTATAATATATGCATAATTATGTATAATCAATGTATACCAGCTAGAAAAGGTAAATATTGAATCTAACGGGCTATTTGTATAATAATCTCCTAATTTTTCAGGACAAAAGTATTCTGAGTTGTCTTGAAATTAAAATTTTTAATTTAAAACTTCAACACAAAATAAACACTGGTCTAAATAGCATCCCTGAGAATAGCTATGTGTGCACTTGCCTCGAGTTCAATAGTTAAACTCTCTCGTTTTTTAAACTTATCTGCATTCGATGTCTGTCATATACATATTTATCGATTTAATTTTTAACAGCTAAGATTACTTTTATTAAAATGTAAATAATAGATTCAGGTAAATATTTATCCATGAACTTTAACTTTTGTAAAAAATAAATACACATTTGAAAATTACATAAAGATATTATAAGTTACAATTAATAAGTAATGTTAAAATTATTGGTTGTTTGGTGCAAAGTGATGGCAAAGCTGGCAAAGATAGGTGTACAGAGAATATGCAAGAAGTGGTTTTGCTGGATTTTATTATTTTTCCTTTTCTTGAATGATTTCATAAATGGGAGATATTTTAATAAAGAAAGAGGTTTATTATAATTATATTATTCTTCTTTCAAAGAAGAAGAATGAGCTTCTATTATCTTAAACCGGAGTTTTTTGCAAGACTAATGGTAAATTGAATTTAGTTACATAATTCTAAATTAGATACTTCCTTTATCTCAAAAGATAAAATGATTGGCCCGGATTAGGACAATTAATGTGTCAAAATAGCACGGGCTAGCCAGTTTTCGGATTGGTCATTCAAAAATAGCCGGTGTTCGCCAAGTCATTGAAAAATAACCATTATTTTGCTGCAATAAAGACCGGTCCAGCATAATATACTGGAGTTCGGTGCACCTGTGCATGAACTTCCAACATATTATGCTGGACCAGTATACTTTGTTGGCTCCACTATAATATACTGGAGTTCCAGTATACTTTGCTGGAGTATTTTCGGATATAATATACTGGAGTTCCAATATATTATACTGCAATTTCAGTATATTATACTGGAGTATTTTCTGGATTTTGAACAGTATTTTCGTTCAGATTTATCTTTACATGAAAAGTGGCTAAATTTTGATGACTTTTGAAACTGTGGTTATTTTTGAATGACCACTTGTAAATCTGGCTATTTTTGAATTTCTCCCCGATTAGTGTCTCTAATTCTAATGCGAATTTGAATATCAATTCTTTTTTATTTTATTTTTTCCTAGAAAACTCCAAGTTAATATGAATTGCACGAAATATTGGTTAATATTGGAATGACCACTTGTAAATCTGGCTATTAATTTTTGAGTCAATTTTAAAAAAACAAAAAAAGAAACATATATTGTTTGTAAAATAATATTTTTGAGGATTAGTGTGACGTCGTTTAAACTTTGCACTGGGTAAATTATAATTGGACTGCTAATATTATGATGATTTGTCTTATAGCCTGTTTGGCCAAGCTGGAGAAATCAGCTTATTTTGAGAAGTGCTTTTTTTAAAAGTGTTTTTAAAAAAAGTACTTTTGGAGAGAAGCAGTTTGTGTTTGGCTAATTACTCTGAAAAGCACTTTTGAGCAATAATTTGTGTTTGGCCAAGCTTTTCAGAAAGTGCTTTTAAGTATCAAATTACGAATAAGGACATGAATAGATTTACTTTATAGTTAATATTGTAAGTAAATAAATAAACTCAAAAATTTGTTACTACATGCAATAATTAAATCTTTTCATTATATTTAAGTAAAATATGAAAATAAAATTAAAAAGTACTTAATTCTTTTAATATAAGTTAAATATATTAAAAATCATTCAACAAATATAAAAGTATTCACCGCTAAAGTCACTATATATTAGAAAGCTATCCTAAAAATAAGAAGAAATATTTATACATTAATATCCTAAGTATTTGGTTTAACGGTTATTTTGGTATATACTATATTTTGTTAAGGGCATTTTTGGTAAGAAGAAAAGTCAAAACTGCTTCTGCTTCTGCTTTTGGAAGAAGCTACTTTTTTCTGCTTCTCACAAACTGCTTCTGCTTCTGCTTCTTCCCAAAAGCACTTTTTTTCTCAAAAAAGCTTGGCCAAACACCTCAAGTTAGGGGAAAAGGTGCTTTTGGAAAAAAAGCACTTTTGGCCTCTTGAGAAGCTTGGCCAAACAGGCTATTAATCTGTCAAATGCTACTGAAACTAACCCAATCCCTTTCGCGCCTCTAGCGCGAGTAAGTAGTAGTAAGGTGAAAGAATTTCTTTTGCTTTTTTGAAAATCTTTATCATTGTATAAGGAGATGAAAGGTGGATTAGAAAGAGATAACATATGGTGAAATTTGAACCTTCCACTTATGTGATGGAAAGTGGATTCACAAGCTAATATTATTTCCATTGTAAAAAAATTTAATCGCAATTATAATACCACATGTACTCAATAGTTAAGAAATAATTGTGAAAACTACATGCATCTTGTTTTCATTGATATCCACTCACTAAAAATACAACAACATATTCCGTGTATTCCTGCAAGTGAAGTCTGGGAAGGGTAAGGTGTACGCAGTCTTACTCCTATCTGAAGCAGATAGAGAGTTTGTTTCCAGTAAACCCTCGGCTCATGACATGCATAATCAAAGCAGTAAGAAAGGAAATATAGTAGTGAAACCACTCACTATAAATATGATAATATATTGTCATGCACCTAAGATCAAATATTTCGAGCCGGCTTCCGTAGAAAATTCAGACTTCATTACATTTCCTATCCATGATCCAAACAAAAGGTAATTTATCATTCAAGAACTGAACATACTTTCCACTATGGCTACAAGAATTACTATCAATGCAATCTTGAACAAATGAAGGAAATGAAAAATAATCTTCAATGAAAACACATCATATTTCAAAAGAAAAAAAGGACTATAAAAAGCTGAAATTCATAAAATTTATCAAAAAACTATAGAATATTGCAGTTTGTAAGCTTATTTTTGAACTATAAGATGTAGCTCTGTATACTTATTTAGAATTCCAGTGTCTTGCCCTTTCAAAACCATTCTTTCCAAGTTGATAATCTTGATAAGCCTGCATTATCTCACTCTTGGTGTTCATAACAAAAGGACCATATTGCGCGACCGGCTCGTTAATCGGCTGTCCTCCTATCAAAACAAACCTCAATGGCTTAGAAGATCTGTTCCAAACACTTAGACCTTCTCCAGGGCCTAAAACCAAGCAATGGTGAGCTGGTGTAGGCGTTGAATCCGAAGAGCCAAAGACGCCTTCTCCTTCGACTATGTAGACGAAGGAATTCCAGGACTCGGGGATTGGTTGATGATGTTCAGAAGCTGGTTTTAGGGTGAAATCAAGGTACATTGTTGGCGTTCGTGTGAAAACCTGAGATTTTACGCCCATTGCTTCACCTGCTATGATAGTGACCGAAACGCCATCTTTTTCTGCCTTTGGTATGTTCTCATGTAGCAGTTCTTGATACCTTGGCTCAATCCTATACATAGACAAAAGGGTCATTCTTTTTATTTCAGAAAAGTAGACATAATCATCAACCAAATGTACATTTCACTCTATATTTTGAGATTTCATAAGTTACTATTCCATTATTTTTGTTTATAAGGATGAGTTGTTGTGTCTAGAACCACAGTATAACCAAAGTTCTGCAACAATTTTACGAATTTTGATCAAATTGCATAAAGGATAGCTCGATGCACTAAGCTCCCACTATACGCGGGGTTCCGAGAAGGTCGGACCACAAGGGTCTAATGTACGCAGCCAGGGGCAGATGCACCCTACTCCAAGCGGTGTCATCCGACACCGCTTCGCCGAAAAACTTTAGTTATTACAGTATACATATAAATCATATGACGCTGCTGAACGAAGAATAGTCTCCGGTCTGATGGTCAAGCGCCTCACTTGCAATGTCGAGGTCTGCGGTTCGAATACTTCGTATGCGTTTCTTTTGCATATTTTCCTTTTAAGCCTCTTTTGTTTAAAAAATAGAACTGTCCTCTTCCTTGACAGCATAAGCGATAATGAAATACTATTTAACTTTTAATTAAAAAGTAATTATTTTAGAATAAGATTAACGAAATTTAAACCGTAACTACGAAAAAGTTCTCACCCTCTATAACTTGTAATTTCTAAGTGACAGGGTTTGATGGTGTTGCTCTTCTCTATTTCTTATCTCCCATTTTTATTGTAGTAATTTGTTCACCACTTTAAATTTCGACACCGCTTACAAAAAGTCCTGCGTACGCCCCTGTACGCAGCCTTATCCTGCATTTCTGCAAGAAGCTATTTCCACAACTCGAACCCATGACCTCCCGGTCATATGGCAACAACTTTAGCAGTTATGCCAAGGCTCCCCTTCTTTGATCAAATTGCATGTTATAGGCATATGTTAAAATGAAAAAGGTTATTCTGAAACTTAATATTGTTTAAGCCAAAGTCAAGATTGAATTAATGTAAGAGTACTAACTCACATTTTGTCCTTGGATGCCAGATTTATCCATAGTTGCAATCCCTTATGAGCACCTGGACCTGCAGGCATTTCTGAGTGCACTATACCTCTACCTGCTGTCATCCACTGCATTGAACCAAATGGAAAATTATTTATTTTAAAAAAAAAATCTATCTTAACCCCCCCCCCCCCCTCCCCCCGCACTCGTTTTTTTTTTTTTGAGTT